GCCGGCTTGTTCGCATGATGACGATAGCTGTTGTTGACGATGTACGCGGAAATCTTGGACAGTTCCACATGTGCACACAGCCCAAGCGGCGAAGGAAGGCCCCTATTGAGACACACCATTAGGCCAAGTACGGTGAAGGTAGGTACGATTGAAGGGTACAACTCACGGTGCTTCCTGTGGCAGGGACAGGGTAATGGCCTGATGAGGGACCGCGGGTGGGCGACCCATCAAGCAGCTCAGCCAGCTAGAAGAAACGGGTATGTGTCAGCAAGTGGTTGGCTAGTTGACGCTAGGAGGCAACACCGGTGGGAAATGGCATGGACTAACCGATCGATGTTGTAAACCGTCCAAAAAGTCCTACGCTCGACCTCGGTGACTGAACTTTCCCTGTGCACGCCGTGCATCACGCTGAGATGCATGGCGTTGCTGATGGCCATGTAGGCGGCATCTCGGCGATTGTTCTCCACCAGGTACAGGGCCATCAGGGCCAAAACGGCCACGTTGTAAATTGTGTAGGACGTCATGTCCAGGGGGTTTCCGATCAGCATCCTAGCCGCCGCATAGTGGGCTTCGCCCAATTGGCCATCCACCCGGGAATTCTCCTCGGTCAGGGTCAGCAGATGGGTAAAGGCAAAGGCTGTGTAGACCAATGCCAGTTGGCCGTGCTCCCGAGCGGTGTGGTTCCGCGGTTTAGTGGTGTCCAGCTTGAAGCCAGTGCCAAAACCGGACTGGTCCGGTAGCGCCATCTTGGCGGGGTCCTGGAATGGCCAGAAAAAAATGCCGCCGCACCCTGCCTTGCCGTTGTCGTCCTGGAGAAAGGTCTTGAACTGCGTGATCATGGCCTGGATTTCCAGCTGCGTGGGGATGCGCGGCTCCACGTCCATGGTCGGAAGCAGGAGAGGACGGGAATCGAACGTCTGGTAGCGACCAACCGAATTGAGGAAGGTTGCATTCCTGCTGCCGTCGGGCGTCTCGGGGTTGGGAGAGAGACCTTTGGAGGCCAGCGGCTGCGTCGTCTTGATGAAGGCCTTGAGCGAGTCAAGGAAGGTGGCGCCAGAGGTTTCTCCAAGGTAGCGAGCGGTACCCTCAGCATCGGCCAGCATTCTGCCGTCGTCGACGGGGTAGTCCATCTGCATCTCCGTGTCCTCATCGATGGAGAAGGCGGGCTCAAAGTTGTGGTTGTGTGCATGGACAGGGTAGTCATAGTGCGACGTCGTGGACGTGACCGAGCCTTCGGTGAGATAGGCCTGGCCGGCGGCCCCTACGCCGTCTGGCGAGTCGATGCTCATGCCGCCCTGATCCCCTTCCTGGACAGCCTGCAACGGCTGAAGCAAGCCGCTGAGGTCGATCTTGCTGTTACCATTGCCAATGCCGCTAGCCGCTTTGCTGGTGATCTGGAGTTGACTCTCGTATCTGGCTATCTTGCCGAGCAGCCCGTCAATGTAAGTCTGGGGGACGGTGACCTTTTTAACGCCCTGGGGGTAGATGCACTGGCGCTGGGCCTGGGTGCACTGGCGACACGGCTTCTCGCCCGAGCACTTGATGCGCTTGACATTGCAGTTGTTGCAGGCGAGGGCCACGCGCTTGCGTTGCTCGGGCGCGACCTTTTTCCGCCGCGGGTTGACGGGTAAGCGAAAGTTGGGATCGTCGGCGCCCGAACTCTTGGACGACCTCGGCATATCTGAAGCCAGCTTGTCGGTGTGGTGTTGCTGTCACACCTGTATCCCAAGTGGTGCTTGCCTTGGGTTCTGGAAGGAGGAGGGGAAATGCCGAAAAGGTTGGCGAGAAGAGACGATAGGTCAGGGACGGTAGGATGATGAGGCGATTGGGATCACACTGGCACCCGACCACACTTTCCATCTGGCAGTGTGCGTCAAATAGCCTTGGTTCTTGCCAGTGCCGCGTCGTCCTGTTCACCTCCTGTCGACGGCGAGGATGGCGATGATGCGTTCAGCAGGTAGTCTTTGTAGTCGAGAGTGAGTTGTCAACCGGTGAGGTGAGTGAGATGAGAGCCCGGGAGTGTCGGCGTCGGCCGGCGTCAATGAGCGATAAGAGGTGAAGTGAGGCCGGGTGATGTCGATCGAGGTCACAGATGTGCAGGCTTGACCACTAGGTGCACACAACGAAGGACTCGCTGACAACGGCTCCCCCTCTTGACCGACCGGTGTGGTCCGTGTGGTCGCGATGGTGGTGGCACGTCCAGACGGGGCGTCAGGTCGTGTCGTTGGGGGGAGGAAGGAGGGTGGTTAGTTGGGTGAAGCTGAGAAGAAGCACCGAGGGAAGACGGGAAGGATGGAGGAAGAGGAGTGGAGGGAGTGGAAGAAGGAGGAAGTGAAGAGAAGAGAAGACTGGAAAGAGGGGGGGCGAGTCAGGTGAAGAAAAGACGAAAAGGCAAGACCGAAAGACGGCAAGTGTAAATGCAAGTTCGTTCCGCCAAGTCACTCACTTCCTCGCTCCAGAAGAAAACGGGAAGGAGAAAACGGGGACAACGGGGGTCAGTGGTTAGGTCGTCATCCACAACGGGCAGCAACGACGGAGAGACGGGACAACGGGACAAGGAAGGTCGGGAGCAGCAGCAAGGTGAGTAAGGCAGCCGCCGGAGGAGAAGTGGAATCAGCCCAGGTCGGGAATCGAGACGTCGACTTTCAAGAACCACACCCGGATTTCCAATTCGTTCGTGCTCAAGATCCCATCACCGTCGGCCACACAGCACACAGGTCGAAGTCGAAGAAAAGGAAGGAGTCGGCGACAAGCGGCGGCTGATGATTAAGCTAGCAGCGAGTACAAGTACCGCACTGGCATCGGTGTCAGTACCCGTCCGTGGATTTTGTACCCGCGCCGGCCACTTCCATGCGCTTTTGGCGGATTCGGATTGCGTGGTGCGAGGATTGGAGGGATTCCTTGGGGAGGGGACGGACGGGAGTGGATGGGAAGAACACCAAGGAAATATTTGCAAGGTACTCGGTGATAGCAGGCTTTGTGGCAGCTAAGTCCGTTGCCGGGGCCTGAGAGGGCTTGCCAGGGGCTACCAGGGCTCGCTGGGGCACCGGTGGGCACACGGCCAGGGCATACACGCGGGTGGGGGGAAGACACCCCGCTAACCCAAGCTACATCTGGAGGTAACGTACCTGCCGAGCTGCCCTAGAGCATGTCTTTGGTACTGTATCCGGAAAACAGCCCGTGCGCACCCGCTCTTCCATCGACCGTCGGAGCCCACTGTTTCCTCCCACTGGTCCCGACCGGGTACAGGGGCACGGGGCACAGATGTCGAGTGGGCAAGTAGGTAGAAATGTGGACTCGGAGGGGTAACATGTCCATGGTACCACAGATGGCTCGGAGGAGGAAGGTGAGGCAAGGGCGGTAAGGTAGCACAAGTAGAGGTACCTACTGCAATTTTCATTTTTTCCCTCTTTAAACCCGCGATCGCCCTTCTTCGTTCGCTTCTGTTTGTTTGGTCATCAACATGTAATAGCTGAGACGGGAGGTATCCAAAGCCTTGGAGGCAACAACATGGGACAGAACAGGCCCGGGCTTGACATTCGCTCCTTGTGCTACCACAACTCGGTCCTCACAGCCTGTTCTTGTCTGCTCTTGCCGGTTCATCCTCATGCATCAGCCTTCACCGGGATGCATGGACCATTTGCGCCGACGGCACCGGAAGGGGGGAAAGCACCCAATGGGCTGATGCCCGATTACTTCCCGACTCCTCTCCGTGCAGTGTCTTCAAAAAAGCTTACCTTGCGTCGAAGATGATTGCCGACAAGGCAATAATTCGTAGGGACGAAGCAGTGTCTTCTTGGTCCATCCTTCAATGACACGATACCAACGAGGGACTGGTCAGTCATCAACCCACACTCCCATGACAAGTCACCTGTCACTCGGTAATCGCTCTTTCATCAAAGCGTGGTGAGGGGAGCAACAAAAAAAAAAAAAAAAAAAAAAAAAAAAAAAAAAAAAAAAGGAAGGAGGGGAAACATTTTGTTCGACTGGGGGGGTGGATGGGACCGGGAGCCACTCGCTGCTTCTGGCCGCCCACCATGACCTAGGTACCTACCATGACAAGCGCAGCCGCGAGACCGGCGAAGGATGCTAGGCCCAGAGGGGTTAGACCGGCCTGTGCAAAATTCAAGGTGAAGCTTCCAATCTGACAAACCGAACGGCGGCGTCCATCGATGCTGACAAGCAGTCCTGCCACTGAGTATCCAGTGACAAGACAATGACAAGGTCGACATGGAAGGTACAGCGCAGTGCGAGTGTACCCGTGGGATCGGATGATTGGATCAGATTTCCACTTCATGGCTCTGCCTCGTCACAGCGAGCATCAGCATAGCTCCCGTAAGGTATCCAGCAAGCGTTGAGTGGCATCCAGAGCTGCTGAAGAAACAGTACACTACACCACGGCCGTGGAACGCAACATGGGTACCCCGTGGTCAAAGAGGATACCTTCCACTCACCTCGTCCTCGAGAGGTACAACCAAGACAGTGCTAACCCGTCGGGACCCGTGTCATGGAATGGCATGGTTGCCATGGAGTGCCCGGCATGGCAATCCTCCTCCGCCTTTTTCACCACCGATCCTGAAAACAATGGGCCCTGGGACGGGCGGTGTGCCTCCAGTGTCTACCAAGTCTCCATGTGTGATCAATGTGAGCCAAAACAGGCAACGCTGGGACGCAACATGAATGTGCGAGAGTGGGGGGGCTGGCCGCGTAGCATTGGAACCAATTCACACGACATTGATTCACATCCAGTCCAGTCTAGAATTTCACCATTCGAGAACTCGGTCAGGCAGATCTACGACGGAGAAATCCACCAAGGACCAACGCAGCTACATACCCACAACGAAGCCACACTGCATCGTAGTTGCTGGTCCTTGCATTACACTAATGACTGCGATCGTTGATACCCAATCTTTTTCTCAATCAAGAGGACCAGGTACCCGACATACGGAGCTATACCTACATCCACCACCTATCACCGTTTTTCTTACACGACCCTTGGCCTACAAGTTATGACCCCTAGAACTTGGCTTCCCCTCCCCATCCATTGTCCTACATCGATTCTCGCTGTCCCATTTCATGCTGCTCTCCTCCACCATCTTTCCAACCTCAGCCTCATCCATTCTCCTGTTCTCCCACCTCAGCACCTCCGTATACGCCCAATACCCCATGATTGCTATCCCAACAAACCCAAATGTGATCAATAACGGCTCCCTATATTCATGTCCCCTTTCCTCTTGACCATGGCCACTGCCGATCCTAAACACCCAGCTCCCAATAACCCCCGCCAGATTACCCCATCCGTTGACACCCAGCACAAGCGCTCTCTTGTTGGGGGAACGCGTGTTATTGGATAGCCAAGCAGCGGTTAGGGGCGGGGGTACGTAGGAGCCGAAGAGAAGAATGCACAGGGCCATGTACTTGCCGGACGAGGAAGTGGTGAAAACAATGCCTGCTAACCCGACTGCGGAAATGGCAAGTCCAGCCATGATGTGATATCCCCGCTCTTGACAGCGGTCGGAGGAAAGGGCAAAGAGGTAGACGCCCAATGCGCCAAAGACGAAGGGGGGTACTGACATCTGTTTGCCGGAGAGTATTAGCGGACATGTACTATGAGTGCGGGAATCTGATGCAGAGATGAGAAATCATGCAACGAACCAGGTTGGCTTGCAGGGCCGAGTATCCCATCCCCTCTACCACCAAAGGTAAGAAGACCGAGAATGCGGTGCTGGGGATACTGGCGCAAATGTTGCAAAGAAGAAGGAACCAGAGCTTCCAGTCACGGACAGTTTCGACAATTTCTCGCCAGGTTACAAAACGCCCGGATGCTTCTTCTTCAACACCTCCTGTTACCATCCGCTGGCTCTCGGTCTCATCGTCATTATGGCATCTCCCGTTCACTCTATATCCATGTCCGGCCTCTTCATCATCGCCCTCTTCTGCCCATTCACTACTAGCTTTAACTCCATCTACGACTCGACATTTCCTGAATAACGCTCTTTCCTCCGATGTCAAAAACCAAGCACTCTCCGGCCCCTCGGGCAACCATACCCATGCAAACAGTGCGACAAGACACGTCGCACCACCTTCAATGAGGAACAGGAGCTGCCAGCTCTTCAACGTCGGGTGCTCTATCCGGAATATAGCATAGGCTAGTCCACTCGCGGTTAGCGAGCGAATCCCCAGGGTGAGAGCAACTTATACTGTGACTGTGGTGCGTGCATAGATGATTGTTGGGTTGATGGACATGGGCCATGGCCGGGGATGTGAATGGAGCCGTGGATAGGTGTACATCCACACCAGTCCACGTCAACGTTAACGTCTGCTGGCCGCGACAGGGTGGGCTGAGTCATGGTTTCACCATCATTACTGCACCTTCGGCGGCACTGATGACATGTCGAAAGGTTCACGGAGACACGGAAGGGACGTTGTACATACCTATGGCCCCAGAAAACGCCCCTGCCACCGCGTATTGTCCATAGAACAGCGCAATGCGCACAGCAAGGTCATAAGGGGGATAGAACACTGTCAAGTAGGCGAGGGCCGTGGGATAGAATCCGGCTTCGAAGGCGCCGATGAGAAGGCGGGTGGCTAGGAGAGAGCCTATTATGGTTCATGAGTACGTTAGCCTTGGGAACTGTGTGCGTGGGTGGGGGTATGTAAAGAGTAGTGACTGGTTTGGAGGTTGGGAAAGAGAGCCAGAGACTTGTAACTTGATGGAGTTCGAGCAGTTCGATAAAACTGCCATGCAGGGCTACAGTATGAATATCAACTCACCTCTTCCTTTGATAAAGGCCTGAGACAGTGTCAATGCTCCCCAGCTGAGCTACAGTTGGACAAAAAAGACAAAGTGCGTGTTAGTCAAGTGTTCCTGAATTCAGTTTGAGGATCCAATTAAGAGAGGTTGAGCCAGTGAGCCATCCGCAACTCTGGTTTCTACCCAAAATCTCACTCCATCGATCCATCACCGTCGCGATCCTAACAGCCAGGCAGATTGTATCTCAATCAAACAACCTACCATGATTCCAACAATCCACACTCTCCCTCCCCATTTCCTCCCAAAAGCAGCGGATACCGGCTGACAAGCAACAAACATGACCCAAAATGCTGAGATAGCCAGGTTCAAATCGCGCGGCTCGCACCCGATATCCGCTGTGAACCCCTGTGTCTGAGCGTTCCCGACGTTGCCGCGGTCGAGGCCATTGAAGAGGTAGAGGGTGGAGAGGAGCGGGAGAAGGAGGAGATCTGTTTTGCGGTTGATTCTGTGCCTGAGCTGGAGGAGGGAGGGCTGGGATTGGGACTGCTGGCTGATGGAGACATGGGAGAATGAGCAGGAGTTGGCGGTGGCGATGGAGCGGTACGGTTCATGTGAAGGGCAATCATGGTCGCGGGCAAATGGATAGGTAGATCGTAATAGGGGATCAGACTCGGTATCCAGGCCCGGAGAGAAGTCAACAAGTGTGGAATCGAGTCTTGAGCGACGGCTCCGTTCGGACGTGGCTATGGTAGACGACGAGTACATGGCTGCCATTGTTTGGATGACGATGATGACAATGGCAGAGTTGAAGACAGCAATGACGGCGGTGACACGGAAGAGGAGGGTGTAGTACACATTGTAGCCATGGGTTCTTCCATACAGCTTCTGAGTCTGATGGCGTGGATCGACTCCATCGGCGCTGGCCTAATTTCTTACTGACTTCCTACCTTCCGTCTAGTCACATTATATTGCTGACATGAGCGTGTTGTCGCACAGATGGCGGCACCTCCGACACCTTACTTGCCCAATCCGCGGCATGGTCACACATCAATTGACCATGGAAATGGGCGAGGCGACCGGACGGGCAAGACGGGATGTGAATGAAAAGGAAACAAGGCGGAGATGTCACATCGACAAGGGGGCTGACAGGAATGACAGAAATGACAAGGGCGGTGGCATCCATGTCTTGTCTATGGGCTGGGACTCTGGACTCGGGCCTAGAAAGCAACTTGAGGCACTGGAAGCCTTGGCAAGGACAATCAACCAGGGGGTTGAAGGGTTCTTTTCTGCTTTGCTTCTCCTGCGTTTTGGCTGCCCTCTGCAGATTGGCTCACTGGTCGGTAACGTGGGTTCCGTAACGTGCTGGTAGGCGCTAAAGTCACCGTTTCCCAGTCTCCTGGACGTTGGCATCGCTTCGCCCATCATACACTAATTGTCCAATGTGGAAACGTACCTGACACCAAAGACGCACCCAGCCACGTGTAGAACTCGTCCATTGTCCAATCTGTTTTTCCCAGGGGGTTCTACCTTCGCCGCGTAATCTCCCTCCCTGACCCCAGTTCAACGCTTGGCTGAAGGTTGAAGATGACTGGACGACAACAATCCGAACCAACCAATGGTTTTAGACGGTTATGTGATTTATTATCCGGGCCAGCTATGCAACGGAAGGCTCATAGGGCAGCACGAAAAAGGCGATTATTAGGACGATAGGCTGCATTTCAACGGCATCGTCAAAGCGCACTGGAGTTGGCACAGAGACCCCGCGTTCTGTGACTGGTGCGTGTCTCTTTGTTGGCTAGCGCACTGTGTAGGCATTGGCCGCGGCGACGAGTTGCGCCCTCTATGAACGGTGATACTCGGGAGACGCGGCAAACGGGGGTCGTCGATAATAAGCTATGATGTACCTGGAGGTTCAACAGTTGTCAGAGATAGTTGAGGCCCCATATAGCTAGTGTATGGCGTGGCGAAAGAATTGAAGGAGCAAAGTGGTTATTGTCGGGGGAGTGGGAAACGCAGAAACGACGATCATGGGAGCTGTCATTCTTGGCTCTTGGTGTCCAAACGGTCGGGCACCCGGCACATACATACCTCTGCGAGAAAGGGCCCTAGGCAGCTGAGGGCTCGTCAGTCGGCCTCAAATGTGGTCGCTGTCTCGCTGACTAGTGGCAGCGCCATGCTAACATGTACCCGCGCAGCTCGGAATATGGTGGTTACCGAAAAGTCGTGGGTGCAATTGCTTCAATCCGATGCGCGGAAAGGGAAGTGAGACGACTGACCGACAGCTTGTTCCAGTCCTTGGGTTCGGGAGGATCCGAGGAAGGCAGCCGGTGGACCCGGACGTGCTGATAAGGAGGGGAGTACCTCCCTACAAAGGGCATGGATAAGGAAAAGCGGGACCCCCTGGTGGCCGCCCGCTTGCCTGGTCGATGGAATGGATTGACGCAGGGATCGGGTAGTGTAGGGCTCAGTTTTGCATCAATCTTCAATTCTTGACCATTCTCACGGTTCATTCTCAGCGTGTCATCCAATTCTTTGCATCATGCGTTTGTTCGTCTCCCTCCTCAGTGCGATTCGTGATCGAGGTGAGGTATTCCACAATGGGCACGAACAAAGGGGCAACGGGATCGCTGACGGCCGCTGCCTGATGCCGTCTAGAAGCCCGCCTAAGAGGCCGTGCGATGCCAAGCTGAGAACCCTAGGTTACCTCGAGGTATGGATCCTTGTGAGAATCAGATGAGATTGCTGGAATTCCCCACCGTTTCTATGCTCCAACAGGCTAGACCGACTCCCCTGTCTCCATAGCGATTGAAAATCCAGCGCGGCCCCTTTTGGCGGTATACAGAGTCCGTTTGAGATTGAGACTGTGACGGGCAGGATTCAACAGTTTAACAAGTGCATCGATAGGTACCTTAGGCAAAATGACTAATGCTTGAAAGGGGCCGGATACACAAAGTAATAGGCCAATGCAAACACCCGCATCATGAGGCATCTTTCTGAGTTCCGTCGGACGAGCCAGTCTCATCATTTACCATCGGTGGTTTCGGTCTCAGTTTTGGGGCCGTTGCAGCGCTGCGCGCAGAGGAACGCACGCCAAGACCCTCCGTCTACAACAGCAGTGCGTTCGTTCCGCATTACTACCTACAGCTTCAAGGAACGCACTGCCGTACGGTTTGCAGAATTACCTCTTCCTTGGTGCCCAGGTCGTGATACTTGGCATGGCGTTGAGGTCGCTTGGTTAATGTGCTCATGGCTATGGTGCGTGTATGCGAGAAACCATGGCAATGGCCATTTGACTGTCGTCATCGTAGGTCTCAGCTGTAAATGATCATATAAGGCGGGGATATCCGGGCAGCCAAATGAACCATGAACTCTCCCTTCAGGTTCCCTTGATCATCCCAAACCAGTGACACCAACATCACCAACACCAGTGCAGCTGTTCAGACTGTACCCGAGGTTGGTGCCACCAAACTTGCGATGGGTTTTTCCTTCCGTGCTAGTTAGTACCAACACACGCTAAAGGGCTGGAACAGAAAGCAAACGCGGGTAGCACGGCGCGGCCAAGCTGAAAGCAGCATAGTCGCAACCCAACCGAAGGAACTTTGTTGGTCCCCATCCAGGGTCTCTCGGGGTAGGTAGTATCCTGCCAGGGTTTCCGACTCCTCTCAGCGGTCACTTCACGATACCTGCCTACCTGCTCCCTGCGCCACTCAAGCAGCTTTTTCCTCCCTTTCCATTCCCCTTTCTCTTCTCCCAACGCGACTGCTGGTCCGGCTCTTGTCCCGCTGGACTTCGTTTGTCCTTGCGACAGCCGCTCTTTCGCTCTCCATGCCATTGCGCTTCTTGGTTAAGCCTTCGCCTGCTCTTCTTTTTGTTGTTGGATTCAGCTGTTAGGGACCACCCACCGCGCCTCAGCGGAACCATCGCTCGCATGTCGGTCCTACCTACCTTCTCCCAGCCAGCCCGGCGCCTCCTCATCATTCTCCCTGTTGTTTTCGTTACACTTCTCCTCCTCACCGGCCTCTTCAATCATGAGTCCTTTCGCTCGACCTTGTGAGTATCCCGTCGTCGATCATAGCCCCACCACCTGACCGTCGCTAATCCGTTGTTCGTTCCTCCGCCAGGCCAACGGTGGTCATGCCAAAGGTAGTCATCACCACCAACCCCTCCTCCTGCGCTGCCAACCAAACCAGTGGCCCACTCGACAACCTCTCGTCCATCATCCAGGCACTCTACGCGCCCCTTGTCGTTCCCATCACTAGCCCCACATTTACCACGCGCGATGGCACCGTCAAACGCCTGCCTCCAGCTTCAGAGCTGATCCACCACAAATCCCTCGGCAAGCGTATCTGCATTCTCGATGTCGACACGCGCCCCCACACCGGTGCTGGCGGCGTCTTTTCCTCGTCTTTGCCGACCTGGGACGCCCTCAGCCCAGCTTCTGCCGGGTTTCTCTCTCACTACCTCTACGCCTTGATTCACGGCTATACCTACAAGTTTGTGCAGGCGCCTACATACCAGGACCGAGCCCCGCACTGGACCAAGGTGATCTTCACGCAGGAGCTGCTGAAGAAATATGACATAGTGGTGATGATGGATTACGACGCCATCTTTCCCAGCCCCGAGCTGCCGCTGGAGTGGATGCTCAACTACTGGAAGATCGACGACAAGGTCATGGTGGCTATGGCGGAGGATCCGAATGCCGAGGTCAACCGCGACCAGAGGGGGAACCTGAACGTCAACACGGGCTTCATCATTGCGCAAGCCTCGGAAAACACGCAGAGGATGTTCAAGGACTGGGCCGAATGTCCCAGTGAGACGAGATACAAGGGCTGTGCCGAGTGGAAGGGCGTCTATTTCCACGAACAGTCGGGTTTCAGCTCCCACGTGCGGTACGACTTCTTGGACGGGTTGACCATTGCGGAGGAACCGGGCAAGAGCATGATAAGAGCGCTGCCATGCAATGAGGCAAACGGGATTCCCGAGAAGAAGAATCTGGGTTGCACGGGACAGCTCGTCAGGCATCATTGGGGCGGTAAGGAGCTGGCGAAGAGGGAATTTAATGACAATATTATGAATGCGATGCTGCCGCTCTTGATACAGTCGGCGTTCAAGGGAGGCGATGCGACGAGTGCAGTGGCGGATTACAGGAACAAGACCTTGGTGGGAGATCAGATTCTGGATAAGCCTCTCTGAGGCAGCAACTTGAGGGAGAAAAGAAAAGGGAAATACAACCGTATCTTAGTAATGTGGAAAACGGCCAGGCGTTTGGGAGTAGACTGGATCTGGTGGAGTAACGAGCCATGAGCCTTGGACGGCTTGGTCCCAGGAAAGACGGATTTTTTGGTCTAGGATGATCTTCAACGAACAATACTGCCATGTCGGCATAATATGTATACAAGTAATGTTTGATAGCGAAGATACAAAGACGTGGAAGTAGCAGATAACATCGCAAGTGTAGGTCCATGGGGAAACACTGTTCAAGATCATACTTCTAGATCATAGGTTGTGATGGAGACTCCTCGTTACAGACGTTGAGGTTGCACTGCATTGCCTGTACAGATGCCAGGCGATGGATGATGCATACTGCCTGCGAGGTCTACGGCTGAGGATGTCTCTAGAACTCTTGAGATGATCACAATATCTGTGCCAACGACCCGCCTCCCTGGTTCTCAGCAGATGTCCGATAGTTCGATATTCCTCACCTCTCGTCACAATCTCCAATCTTCCGAGACGCAGACATTTTGCTCCCTCTTGATGGACAGAATCGCTTCGTTTCGTACTCTTCGTTCCCCCAGCCGTGGCCCAAACTCAATATTTTTGTCCCCACTGTTGTCTCTTGTCGCATCGCTTCGAGGTTCAATCTCTCTTTGCTGGTCTCGCAGCAACAGGCCCAACATCACTCAGACCGTGCTTCGGTCGTCCATCCCGGTCTGAATCAACCCGAGGATCCAAGAAGTTAGCAATGCGTGAGCCATGAGGACCATAAGTTCCCTCGGGGGCATTGAAACCCACCCCGGATGCGATCTTTTGCGACTTCTGCGTTGATGTCGCCGCTTTTGCGTCGGGGATGTCGCCTGATGGAGGATTGACATGTAACTGCTTGTTCTCGGTCGCTGGGTTGACAACGGTGGAGGCTTGGTTATCGGGGTAAGGACCGCGCGTGTGAGGGTCGTAGTCTGGTACCGTGGCCTGTTTGCGCTCTCTGGGGTTGAGGGCTTCTTTCATGTTTTCAATGATGTCGGACATGGTGGGCGCGCGGATGCGGTTGACCGCGGCTGAATTCGCTTGGTGGATGGAGAAGGCGGTCGATTGGTTTTCACTCCTTCCTAGATAGAGAGTCTGGATTCAGACAAATCAACTGGAAATATTGGTTGGTGAGAAAACAAGAGATGCGGTTTGCAGAATCGTTGCAAGCTGAGAGTTATGGCCGGGAAGCACAAGAAGACAAGACGAGGGACACAAATGGTAGCTGAAGCCCTGACGTCATGGCCGTTGTGCTGGGTAAAGGTAGGAATGCGATAAGATAAGACGTGGGCTGCATGGGCCGGGGATGGGGACAGGCTGGAACCCTGCAGGGAGCCCGATGATCAACTTTACAACTGAAACATTTCACGACGAAACAACTTCGGAATGACCAGTCTCATCTGTCAAGCGATCCAATCTGATGGACCTTGACTTTGGACCCCTTCAGGCTTACCTTGACGGCCCCTAGATCCCATAGCGACATGGGGGTGTCTCAACCTCGTCACATCCGACCGGAAACAAGCAGTTTGCTGTCCAATTCGATCCTCGCTCGACTCTTGCAATATCTCGTCCCCAACGCAGTTGTTCTACAATGGCATTGGCCAGTTTCGATCAAAGTACGTCCCATTTACGACGCTTCGAATCTCCCTCGTGCCTTTCTCCCGGATATTGACGAGTTCTCGGCAGGATCACGTCTTGTGGGGTAACCTCCCGCCTGTGCTGCCGATATCCCCGAATCGGTGCGGTTTCCTCCATTTGGACGTCGTTGTCCACCTCCGGCTACACCGCACCCATGTTACCCCGTCTCGCCTGCGTTTGACCATCGAGTTTACCCCGTGCTGCCTAGCCATCATATACTACGAAGCGTTCCAATCGCCAGCCGCATTCGGCTCCGAACCCAGCCTGGCATTGTGTACAACTCGGATGATCTACAGCACCAAGAGCGTGTTTTCCGGCTAAAATCAGCTTGTCAAACCGTGATAGACGGCCCTTCCCGCCGGGTTCTGGGCCCACAACGAACAGGTACAAAAGGGCATCGCCAAAGTCGTTAGCATCACATCCAAGCCAGCACTCCTCAACTCTCTCTCCCTCGTCGCTATCAACATGGTTCATCTGTTGTCCAACTTGCTGATCGGCCTCGCCCTGGCTCCGTCCGCCCTGGGCGCCACTTTGCTGGTTTCCCATTTCAGCGGACCTGTCTACACCCTCTCCTTGACCACCAGTGGCACCACCGGCAAACTTTCCATTACCTCGCAGGCTAGTGGCTGTGGCACAACTCCTGCGTGGCTGGAATATTACAATGACACCAAGACTGCCTACTGCTTCGACGAGTCTTGGACCGGAAGTGGTGTCATCACCCAGTACAATGTGGGAAGCGACGGACGCCTTACTCAGTCTGGCCAAACCCGGACCAGTGGGAACACGGTCCACGGCAAGGTATACGGAGGATCCGATGGAAAGGGCTTCATTGCCACGGCGCAGTAGTAAGTACCCCTCGATCCTCGACAAGACTTGTTGTTGTCTGACCCCACCGCAGCTCCCCATCAACCATCACCACGTACAAACTTCCCCTCGGACAAGGCCAGGTTCAGCTTGAGAAGTTCACCATGTCGCAACGTGGGCCGAATTCACGTCAGGATGTGCCCCATCCTCATGAGACTCAGCTTGACCCCACCGGAAAGTTCATGCTCGTTCCCGATCTCGGTGCCGACCTGATCCGCATCTTCAAGATCGACGCCAGCACCGGCCGCTTGACCGCATGCCCAGCTGGTCAGGCCTCGCCTGGCGACGGCCCGCGTCACGCACAGTGGTGGAAATCCGCTGACGGCGTGCTTCGCCTGTACACACTCAACGAACTCGGCAATTCGGTTTCCTCTTGGAATGTGGTGTACCCCACTGACTCCAACGGTTGCCTCGCCCTCAGCAGAGCGCAGACCCTTTCCACCTATGCTCCTGGCAAGAAGGGTGGTCCGACTACCAAGGCTGCCGAGATTCGTGTTGCTGGCAATTTCCTGTACGCTTCCAACCGCGCAGATCAGACCTTTGGTTCCAACCAGGACTCAGTCGCCATCTACACTATTGATTCTCAGACCGGTGCTATCGCCTGGAAGGAAGCCGCCAACTCGTACTCTTACTATCCTCGCACCTTTGACATCAACAAGGACGGCACCTTGGTTGCATTTGGTGGGCAGACGTCTTCCAATGTAGCTATCGTGTCGAGGGACCCTGCGACTGGCAAGCTTGGGAACTTGGTTGCTAACTTGCAGGTTGGTAATAAAGGTAGGGCTGGTGAGGAGGATGGTCTTAGTGCTGTCGTCTGGGTGGAGTAGTTTGCTTGGTCTGTTCCTACCGCCAAACGCCTGATCCCCGTATCCACCGCCAAACGCCTGATCCGCTTTGGCACCCCCATCATCTGGATAGCTGCCGAGTCGCTAGCGAGTTTGTAAATAGTTAGAATCAATTAGTTTCACCAATAACAAAGCTATTCACACCCGCGCGCCCGCAATTACCTATTGTAATTTACTATACTTCGTACTACTATTAAGAAGACCGACCCCCGCGTTGCCGCTACCGCTACCGCTATAATAACGATTAATAGGAAATGCTATACTAATTAAACGGCGCATACTAACCGAAAAGCCGTTAACGATCTATAACCTCTACCTTCTCCTATAAGGAGGAACTAGCTATAATAATATAAAAAGAATTATAAAATAATAGATTTTAAATTCGAAACGGAAATTATAAAGCTTCCCGCTATTAATTCGAAGGGTAAAAATAAAGTTACTTTTATTAAATTTACTCTTACCCCGAAAAAGGTTATTATAATTTTTAATTATATAAGTATAGAAAGTATTGCGTTGCGTTCGAAGTTGACTAGGAAGTACGCTTAAATTTGCGTTGCGCTTTATATTTTTATTTTATATATAGTAATTAAAATTTATTTCCAAGTAAGTAAAAGATGATTTATTATTATTTTATACCCACCCGGGTAGATGGAAAGGCTTTGGGTGGAATTTCGATTTTAGAATATAATATACGATTTTAAATAAAAGGATTCGTAAGGGGGGTAGGGAAGGGTAGGAAGGTAGGGTAGTAGAAAGGAAGGGAAAAAACGCTTATTAGGGTTAGGGTTAGGGTTAGTTATAGTAGGAAGAAGGGGGAATAGTTGCATTGCAATCGGGGGTTAAAAATAATAAATAAAAATAAAGGTTAATAATGTGGGGTAGTTCGTTTGTTCTTTTTTCGTTTTCCTTGTGTGTTCTTCTTTTCCTTGCTGTGGGCTTTTGTTTTCAAATAATAGGTAGAGGTATCTAGGCCTTAGCTCATTGCTTATTGAGGAGCAGATTTATTGTACTGGTCGGACGGGACCTTAGGAATATAATGAGTAGAAAGGGGATATAAGGAGGAGATTCCGATTGAGAAGAGAGAGGAAGGTAGGGATTCTAGACTAGACTAAATAATATTTATCCTCGATAATAGATTAAAGAATCCCACTCCTATACTATAGAATTACTATCGAATACCCTTATAATAATAAGTTTAATAACCCTTTTATAAAAGAATTAACTCTTAGACCTATTTAATTAATTTAAAATTAATAAGGAGAATTTTATCCTTTTTATTAATCTTTAGTAGTAATTAATAAATTATAATTTTACTATTCTATTTTAATTCCTAAGGATAAAAATTATATTTAATTCCGGATTTACTCCTTACTATATTTAGGTATGGTAGGGTGCTTTTCGTGTTGGTGTGGTTTTTGCTCTATTTTAAATAGTAATAAGGATGAGATTGAGTTTTAAATTCCTAGTTAAATTGGTTGATGTGAATTTAAGAAATTCCTAAAGAGGGATTCTTAAAGATATAAAAATTAATTTTAAAAACTTTAGAATACTAGTTCGAACGTTAGGAGTTGAATAGTAAAGAATTGGTTAATTCTTCCGGTAGAGGAGCTTCTTACTCAATTTAATAGAGACTTTAATTCCGGACGTATCTGGATCTCCGCTTTATTAATTAATTTATAATTTGCCGGTAGTAGACTATAGATATTTTAAATTGCTATATTTATAAAATTAGAATAGAAACCCCTTATTTTGTAATTTTAGGACCGATTATAATAAAGAAAGAAGATAAAATTAGATTAGAAAAACCCTAAATAGTATTTAAGAAAAAAGATTAAATAAAGAACGATAATTGAAAAGAAGGTTAATATAAATCTATTCCTTATTAAATAATATTCGGTATTTAGATATTTATACGCTATATATAGAATTAGTACTTTAAGTTATTGAAATTACTATAGGATTAATAATTATATTATTCTATTCCTTACTTAGTATTTTTAGAGCGATATAAGTAATATTTTATAAGGTTAGTAAGGTAGGTGAGGAGGTAGTATTAGCGATTTTAATTTGTTAGTTATACTGTTCGTTTGACCTTTAGATATTAGCACTTATATAAAACTCTGAAAATTAATTATTATAGTTACTAAGGTACTTATATAAAGAAGAAAGAATTAAAAAAGAGTATTAGATTAATTCCTTATTAAAGAAGAAAGAAAAAAGTATTACTTTTTAATACTAATACTATAAATTATAAATTCTTTACTAAAATCCTTACAAATTTAAATTAACTACTATATTTAATATTAGTAGTACCCCTACTAATAAAATTCCTTCGATTAATATTCCTATTCGTCCGGGTAAAGTATTTTTTAATGTTATCGCCGCCCTCCTTATAAATAACGCTACTTTTATTTAAGAAATTCTCTTAAAGAAAAAGTTCGATAGAAAAAGAATTTTTAAATATATTAAATTATTTGAGGAAGAAGTCGGTATTTATAATTTTAGAAATAATAAATTTAAGATTAGTATTTAGTTTTAATAATATAAAAAGGAATTTAGGGATATTAGTAAGGGTTTCCTTTATAATTTTAAGGTTAAGGATATTGCTACTTAGGAGGAGTTTATTAAAAAATTTAAAGTTATTTATAGAGTAAAGGATTTTAAATAAATAAATAGTATATTTATTACCCTAAAGAAGTTCTATATTAAGTACGTCCCTTATTAGATAAATAAGATTGTTAATATTATTTTTATTTATTTAGTATTGTTTGTTCGTTAAAAGGCGTAGGATTAGTATAGTACTAATTATAATATTATTAAGAACTTCTATAGGAAATTATATATTGATATAAGGTATATAATTACTACCTTCTTATAGAAATTGAAGGAGGAATTTTATATTATAAAATAGATTGAATTTTTTTAATCTTTAAATAAATTTGTAGTAGAATAGTTCGATAATATTAATTCTAGTACTTCATTGGATATTAATAATAGTAGTAAGGAGGAGATATTTATTAAGAAGTATAAATATAAAGTTAAGTATATAATTGGCCTAGATAATTCTTTTAAATTCTTTAAGGAAAATATTAGTTTTAAAATCCTTATTAAAAAAATTACTATAAAGGCGTAAATCCCTATTAAGGCTACTTTAATTCTTAATAAAAAGATTATAAATAGTTTAGTTAATTGTATAGAGTAATTAATAATTGCCCGAAGTATTGCCTTTGCTCCCTAAATTTAATAGTAAACCCTTCTCTTTTAGTAGCCCGCTCTTTATTGGCTTATTTAATTTACGAATCCCTAAATTAACGTTATCCAAATTAATATTTTATATAGAAGAATTGGGAATGGATAGAGTATGAGGAGAGATGATAGAGGAGGGTATTAATAGTAGTACTATTAGTGTAGTTTGTTTGGTTATTATATTTAGGAATATAAGTAGAAGGAAATTAATTATAATTATAGTATTATTAATTAGAAGTTTGCTAATTGAGAAAGAAGTATGAATATTATAGTATTTATAGGCTTTAGGATAGATTATAATAATAAAGTCCTTAGGGATGTATATTTTTAAATATTTAATTTGGGCTGATTGGGGGATGCGATCCGTTTCCTTATAACTTTAGTTATTAATTACCCTAATTATTAGAAGTTTAAGAAGTAGGAATTCGAAGTTTAATAATAGTATAATTTGTAGAACGTACTATTTATCCTAGTTTTTGACTTACTTTAGGATCCTAAGTAGGTTAAATAACGTTAGGATTAAATTTAAGTTAAAAACGGTTCCCCCGCTATCGCTATTAATTATATTTTAATAGAGGTATTTAAAGAATTATATAAAATATCCTCTCTTACCCGGGAATAGGTAATTTAAATTTATATAATTATTATTAATCCTAATAAGGTTATTAAATTAAGAGGGCTTTTTAAAATAAATATAGATTAAGAAGAAATTTGTATTATTTTTTAGAATATTATAGTAGTAGTTAGCGAATTAAAAAGGCTTAGGACTAATAATATAGTATTAAACTCTATAACTACCCCTCCTTTTATTTTAATTCTTTATCCGTTTATTATAGAAATATTTAAATTAGCCCCTAAGTAATTTAGGATTATTTTAGATAACGAAGTTCGAATATATTTATTTACCCCTATTAGTAAGGTACTAGAATTATAATTTAAGAAGGTTTTATTCGTATAAAGGGAGGAAGGATTAAATTAAGTATATATAAAGGATATCCGGGTTCGAAATAATATTTTAAATATAAAGGAAATGTACCCTATAATTATTAAATTTATAAATATTAAAGTTATTGTTATTATTAAAGATATTGTCTGAAATAATTTTATTAATACCCTAGCTATTTATAATTGGGTTGAATAATTCTCCGGGGTTTTTTATAGTAAGGATAGGATCTTTACTGTATAATTTAAGTACTATAGTAATATAATTCTTGATAATAGTTCGGAAATTAATAAATTCGTTCTTATTAGGCTTAATAAGATGTAAATTTACTTTGTATTTATAGAAAAATAGGAGCCTAGGATGGATATATTTATAAATTTAATTAAAGTCGCTTTGAAGAATAATAGCCCTATATTTGCCCGGTTATCCTTAGAAGATAATATTTTCTTTCTATTCGAATAGCGTAATATTAGGGATTAGAGAAAGAATAGATTTATACTAATACGTATTATCTCCCTTCGGGATATATTGGCTCTTATTATAAATTAAATAAAATTTATTAATAAATCGCCCCTTATAGAAGGAAATACTATACGCTTTACTCCTTTATTTATACTTTACGTATTAATTAAATTTTAGGGAGGAAAGAAAATTACTATTTTATTAAATACGGGTATTAAGTATAATACTATTTATAAGGTATTAATAGATTTATTAGGATTTTAAAATATTATTATAGAAATTTCTAATATTAATAGTAATAGAGGAAGGAAGGGATTTCTTAGTAAAATTTATAAGAAAGTTTAATTATTCGATAAGGGATAGGAAATCTATTTTTTTATTATAAAGTAGGCCCTATTAAATTATAATATTATTTTGGGGTTACTATTCTTTTAAAACGCTAAAGTTTATATAAAGTATAAAGAAGGTAGAAGGAATTATACGGTTATAATGTTCGATGG